CTCTAACCTCTACAATTCATTGGCTGGAGAGCTCAGATAAAAACCAGAAGAAGAAAAATCAAGGGGGGGAAAGGGATCTTAGATTTTTTTTCTGAAGCTTTTCCAACAGAAAAACTGAATATTTAGAGGAACACTGTAAAGAAACGCTTATGAAATATTTTCTTTTAGAATGAATGAAACATAAGAAGAGAAGCCAATGTTGGATCAGGCCAATGGCCCGTCCAGTCCTACACTCTGTCACACAGTGGCCAAAAATGTCAGGTGCCATCAGGAGGTCCATCAGTGGGGCCAGGACACTTCATAGGGAAAGTGTTCCAACCCTTTTATCATTCTAGTTGCCCTTTTCTGCACTTTTTCCAATGCTATAATATCCTTTTTGAGGTGTGGTGACCAGAACTGGACACAGTACTCCAAATGAGGTTGCACCATCGATTTATACAGGGGCATTATGATACTGGCTGATTTGTTTTCAATTCCCTTCCTAAGGATAGTGTTGGGCTTTTTTATTACAGTCGCACACTGTCTCAACATTTTCATTGAGTTATCTACTATGACTCCAAGATCTCTCTCTTGGTCAGTCTCTGCCAGTTCGGACCCCATCAATGTTATTTATAGTTAGGATTTTTGGCTCCTGTGTGCATCATTTTGCACTTGGCCACATTGAACCTCATTTCCACTTTGATACCCACTCGCCCATCCTCGACAGATCCTTTTGGAGTGCCTCACAATCCTCCCTGGTTCTCACCACCTTGAACAACTTTGTGTCATCTGCAAATTTAGCCATTTCACTGCTTACTCCCAACTCCAAATCATTAATAAACAAGTTAAAAAGCATCAGACCAAGTACTGATCCCTGTGGTACCCCGCTGCTTACCACCCTCCACTGAGAAAATAGCCCAATTATACTCACGCTCTGTTTCCTATTAATTAGCCAGTTTTTGATCCACAAAAGGACTTGTCCTTTTATTCCGTGACTATTGAGCTTACTTAGGAGCCTTTGATGAGGAACGTTATCAAAAGCTTTCTGGAAGTCTTCTTAAGGCAATGGTTCTTACAATCAAAATGTATAGCATAAAACAGTCTTTCAATTTTGCAAATGGAAAAACTGGACAATCTGGGACAGCACTGAAAAAAATATCCTGCAAAATATTTTCTCTTTTTGAGTGAGAAAAATCTGGCCTTTATTTCACTCAGTCCAAATGTACATCATGAAAAGCCTATGAACATTTTCAGTTTTTCCCATGGAGAAATTTGGGAAAGCACTGAAAAAACCCAACTCTTGTCCTGTACATATATACAAAATTGTCAAGAAAATTTTGTTTAAATGTAAACTCTGGCAACAATTAATGTGTTTAATAACAACACAGAGGTTTTTTTCCCCCAGAGGGTAGCTATACTGGTCTGCAGTACAACAGCTGGATTCGAGTCCAATAGGAAGAAGATTTTCAGGGTATATGAGCTTCCAAGAGTCAAAGCTCCCGTCGCCAGATTTGATGAAGAGCACTTTGACTCTCAAAAGTTCATACTCCCCAAATGTTGTTGGGCTCTAAAGTGCTACTGGTCTCAACTCTAATTATTAAAGAGGTCAGTGTTTTCAAAGAAATAAGGTCTAAACCTTAATATTCAAACTTGCTGGTAGGCCTACCTACCTACAGTCACAATAAAGTGCATTATTTGGAAAGTTTTTGTTCAAATACAATATTTTCTTTGGTTTACTGAAATCAAAAGAAACCTACTGAGCCAAGTGACTGCCATATTCATGTCAAGTTTCACTAAACAGCTTAACAGATTCATTCACTTGTACTAACAAAACAAGAAAGGAAAGAAGAGAGACTAGCCATCCAAACCTCCAACAATAATAGCAGAAATGGAATGACTTCATGCTCCTTCAAATATCTTTATGCCAAAGTACTATAAGATGAGAAAGTTTAAGTGGGTACTAAAACACTAACAGAAAAAAAGACCGAATCTCTCTCAACATTTTTCAGGCTGGGGCGCCATTTCTACAGGAATATTAAATGTTTTACACCATTCTCTAGACTAGATTTCAAAAACACCGAGGCTTCTTGGAGGTGGCTCGCCTGTCCCCCATTTGCACAGCTGCACTATATTTCCTGAGACCATCAACTAACCACAGTCAAGCATTCCAGGAAGCCAATAAGGCCTTGGACAGAAGGCAATTTCTTTTAGTTTTCAACTGCATCATGACTGCAGCCCCAGCGCTGCTGAAAACCAGGTACACATCCAAGTTATCATCTAGAAGAGATGCCCTCCAGCTTCCACCATAATCACACTTAAATACCAATCCTCTCCTTTAGAGTGGTTACATCTGTGCTGTTTTATTCTCACACAGGGCTCGCCTTTTGAGTTCCTGGACGAATGCCAAGAAGAAGCCCTCCTTGACAGTTATTCACTTATATATTGGCATGCTATATCTAAAAAGTAATTAAGGAAGGGTAGAGACTGTTTCATAACAAGTTGCTTTTTGTTTGTCATATTTCTGATACTCATACTAAATTAGAGTTTTAAATACTAGGTATTTGACCAATATCTGGAAAGTTAACTGAAAAAGAGTTATCTGAATGAGGTCCTTTGTGTGAATTGTGGACCAACAGTCAAAACAGCCACCCATCTGAATGCGTGCACACATGTAACCTACAGAAAACTTTTGATTTAAAGGCTTAATAAAAAAGCACTCTGGCAAAACCACACTTCAACGTTTCAGACACTGAGGGATCCCTCCCGTAAAATTCTAAGTTTGATTAATCGCACCACAAAACAATGTTGTTGATTTTGTTCAGTCGGTAAAATGGTGTGGTGCAATGGTTTAAATGTAGATCTTGGAGACCCAGGTTTGAATCTCTACTCTGCCACAGGAGCTTGCTGGGTGACCTTGGCCCAGTCACGCACTGGTAGCCTAACCTATCTAGCAGGGTTGCTGAGAGGATAAAGTTGTTGAGATTTCTTAAATAACTGGACATCCTCCATCACTGGGTGGAACTCCCACCTAAACACCTGCATGATCACCCCTCTCTTCCTCAAAACCTCAAGTACAAAGCCTCAGATTTAACCTTTTCATCCACAACTCAAAAGCTGAAGAAAAATAGCATTTGCCCAGATCGATCTTGTTGCCCTTGCTTTTGCTCCTTTGTCTCTCGCACTTAACACTAAATGCTCCTCAAGGCAGAGACCTGTCTTTTTATTTTGCTAGGTTGTAAAGCACAATGTCCACAACAACAACAAGAAATGGGAATTAGAAATATTCAACATGGAAAAGCCAGTAATCAGGTGTACATGAAGAAACAAGTTTTGTGAGGCCTAAAGGATTAATATTTTAATTGATGGAGCTTATTGACAAAGGTCCACTGGTAAATGACCAAAATGAACAATGGTTGGCTTTGGCTAATAACCTACAAAACACTTTTTTAAAAAGGGAGTACTGGAAAACTTTGAAGCACCACATGAGCCCAATCTTGGCTACCCTCTACCAACACTATCAACTTTTCCTTTCAAATCCAAGCTTTGGAGCTACACGAACCATTGGATGAGCCAGGCTGCTGATTATGCAGGAAAAAAGCAGCCCAGAGTATAAAAATAAGGCAACTGAACAAAAGAAAATATGTTGTTTTTTTAGTTGTGTTCCTCTCATGTTAACCAGAATGTTTTCCAAGGGAAAATAAAGGCCTTTAAAACAAGAATAGTATATGCTAATATATATTTTCATTTTCAGTGAAAGTCCACTTAACTTTTTTTTTGCCAAATACTAATTTAAACATACCCCATGCAAAAAAAACACCGAGAAGTGAGACTCTTCCTGGAAAAGGCCCGGATATTCCTATACTTACAGGTGGTGGTGAAAAGCGCCCAAGTTACAGTTGATTTATGGCAACCATGTAGGCTTTTCAAGGCAAGAGATGTTCAGGGGTGGCCTGCCATTGCCTGTCTCTGCAGAGCCACCCTGGACTTCCTTGGAGATCTCCCAACTAAATACTAACCAGGGCTGACCCTGCTTAGCTTCCAAGATCAGGCTAGCTTACAGGCAATGATTTTAAAATCAGCTCAAAGAGAGACAACAGCTGAGCTAATTTAAAGAAAAGAAACTTCAGAAAGATAACCTGGACGAATGACACAGGATATGGTATTAACCTCTCTTTCTTTCACCAGTATTTAACACTACCCTTTTGCTTTTATCCCATTCACACCCTTCACCTCTTTCCCCATCAGCTTCTCTTTTCTCATATATTTCTTCCTTCTCATGCTCTCTCTTCCTCACCTATATAATAATAATATATTTACCATGAACTTCCATACAGGGTTATTAGAATGGACTGCCAGGGCGAAGCAAGCAAGAGGTCCTCGCACACTCAAAGCTACAAAACTCTTTGCTCTTATTCCTGATTCTTTCAATCTTCCCTTCTGCAGCAGCCAAACGTCCCTCACACCCTTTCCCCCAACCCCCCCTCCTTTCTTTCTGGTCTCCCTCACAGGGCAGTTGTAAGGCCATACAGGCAAAGCACTTTGAGGCCCAAACAGCATTATTCTTTTTTTAAGTGTCAGTATTAATCAGACCGTATTCCATCCCTCTCTAACTCTGGATACCACCGCTTTGGCCCCTCATAATTCTCCACCCGAACCCTAACCCCTCTATTTATACTCGCGCCTTTCTTCTTCTCCACTCCCTCCTCCCACTTTGTGTGACCTACCTGGTCAGGGCCAATATTCCCTCTAAGCTGTGGAGTCTTGTGAGCAAAAATTCTACTTCGTGAGCTACCGGAATTAAAGTTGTGAGCCAGTCATTTGGCTACTGCATAAATTGGTTTGCTCTGGAGCCCCATCCTCCCTGAGCTAAGACAAAAATGTGTGAGCCGGAGGCTAAAAAACTGTGAGCTAGCTCACACTAACTCAGCTTAGTCCCCCCCTCATTCTTTCCCTCATTCATTCATTCCCTTTTTCCTCCTTCCCTCGCCCCTTCTTTCCCACCCCCGGCCGCATCCACTCACCCTTCCTTCTCCTCCCCTCAGCTGTTTACCACTCAGGGCTCTTCTAACCCACAGGGCGCCGCCATCTTGGCCCTTTCTCCCTCCCTGGCGTCCCCTCCGAGATCCCTCCGCCACGCTCACCCTCTAAAAAATAGTCCCCCGGCACAAGCCTCCCGCTTCTCCCGCCCACCCTTGCAAAGGTCCAGGGCTCTGCTCCGTCAAGCGCGTCGAGCCCTTCAAGGAGGGCAGTGCCGCGGCACGTGGGAACCGGTACACACGACTAGACCGCGGAGGGATCTTCCAGCGGGGCGGCACTGGAGTGGAAGGAAAGGAGGTCTCGTGATTTTGAGGGAGGCCACAAAATGTTCCGGCGCTTGAGTATCACGTGACGGGAGCTGGGGAGGAGGGAGCGCCAGGGAGGCGGGAAGGAGCGCTGCTTGGGTGGTAAACAAGCTCACGGAGGGCGGGGCTAGCGGGCTCCTGGAGGGGCGGGCGCTTCGAGGCCACGCCCGCCCCCTTGACCCAGCCACTGTGCAAGCTTAGGCGGAGGTCATGCATGCAGGTCTTTCAGTTGCCAACCTCCAGGGGAGGCCTGGATAGTTCAAAAAATGGTAGCTGGTCTCTTGACTACAGAGATGAGTTCCTCTGGAGAAAATGGCTGCTCTGGAGGGCGGTATCTGTGGCATTATGCCCCTCCCCAAATCCTAGGTAAAGGTTCCTTTGCTCGAAAGCCAGTCGAGTCCGACTCTAGGGTTGTGGTGCTCACCTCCGTTTCAAAGCCGAAGAGCCAGCGCTGTCCGAAGACGTTTCCGTGGTGGTCATGTGGCCGGCATGACTAAACACCAAGGCGCACGGAACGCTGTTACCTTCCCACTGAAGTGGTACCTATTTATCTACTTGCAATTTCTTGCTTTCGAACTGCTAGGTTGGCAGGAGCTGGAACTAGAGATGGGAGCTCACTCCATCATGAGGCACCCGGGTCTCGAACTGCTGAACTAACACTGCACCCACCTAATTGCTAGGAATTTTCCAAGGCCAGACTGTCAGCTCTAGGTGACCGAGAAGGGAAAGCCTCGACTACTCACGCTGTAGGTGGTGGGTTCCTGTTCAGAATCTCCTTTGCATGTTTTTTAAAAATCCTCCCTGCAGATGGAAAACTAGTACTGTGGAAATTCTCTTCTCTTCCATTTGCGTAATTTATTGACTTCGTGCTGTGGAAAGAGATCTTCTACCCTTCTTTGCTTGCCGGGTGTTTGTGACATAGGGCAGCACTCGGGTTCACACAGGCAAGCGAATGAGGTAGTAGTCCGGTTGCCCAGCTCTGAGTTGGGAAATACCTGGAGATTTGAGGGGTGGAGGGTGGGGTTTGGCGAGGGAGGGAACCTCTGCAGGGTATAATGTCTCCAGGGCAACTGATCTTGGTCGTCTGGAGAGCAATTGTAATAGCGGGAGATCTCCAGGTGCCACCTGGAGGTTGGTAACCCCAGGTAATGGAATGGGACACGCCACTTCAAATTGCAGATGGAGACTCACGTTCTGAAATGCTCCTCCACACTTGGAAGTCCTACAAAATAGAAACGCCAACACAGGAAGGAAACAGAGCCACACTTCTCTTCCTGCTCTGCTAGATTTCTACCTGCAAAGGGGGGTTGTTTGCCTTTGAAATGCAAAGGAACGTTCGGAGTTGGAATCCTCCACCTGCGGCCTTTGGTGGGGGGGGGTGGCCCATTCCACCTCCTCGTCCCCCTGCATCTGTGAAGGAGGCCTTGGGTGTAACAGGGCGGCCTCTTGCAGTCATGAGCAAGAGCACACTGTGTGCTGCCAGGGAAGAATAGTGATGGTGACCAAGGTGTTTTCCAAGGAATCTTCTGCTGGATACCAGTGTGGCGTAGCAGTTAAGAGTCTGCGACTAGTATCTGGGAGGCCCAGGTTTTGAATCCCACTTGTGTCATGGAAGCTTGCTGGGTGACCTTGGGCCAGTCACATTCTGTCAGCCTCACCTACCTCACAGGGGTGTTGTGAGGATAAAATGGAGGAGGGGAGAAAGCTGTAGGCTGCTTTGGGTAAAAAGGTGGGGTATGAATTAATTTAATAACAAGTCAATGGAAGAGCAAAAATTTTCTCCAAAGCACAGTCAGAAAACAAGTCTCATAGTGCAGGGGTCCCCGACTTCGTGCCCATGGGCACCACGGTAATTTTGAAAATGGTGGGTGCCACCACACAATAGGTGCTGCAGGCAGGGTGGGGGCAGAACTCAGCCAATGGCATCATGGGTGACGTGGAGGCAAACAGCAAATGTTGGGAGGCTCCAAGCCAAGAGTCCTTCCTGTGATGAGGGCAGCTGTTTCCAACAAGGTAATCCCTAAAGACACATAGCTGACACTGCCCTCATCCAGTTTGGTGTAGTGGTTAAGTGCGTGGACTCTAATCTGGAAGAACCGGGTTTGATTCCCCACTCCTCCACTTGCAGCTGCTGGATGACCTTGGGCAAGCCATAACTCTGGCACAGCTGTTCTTGAAAAAGAGCAGTTTCTGTCAGAGCTCTCTCAGCCCCACCCACCTCACAGGGTGTCTGTTGTGGGGAGGGGAAGGGAAAAGGAGTTTGTAAGCCGCTCTGAGACACCTTTGGGTAGTGAAGGGCGGGGTATAAATCCAATCTCCTCTTCTTCTCTTCTGCCAGAGCTTACCGGAAGTACCCCCTGGTTCAGCAAGGTGGAAGAAAATCTGCTTTGGCCTTTTGCTTTGGGGAAGAGTTGCTGAAGAGAAGGTGGTGGGCCTCCAGGAAACACATTGGCAGGCCCCATGGGCGCCCCATTCGGGGTCACTCTGGCAGAGGAATATCTGTCAGGATTCAGTCAGCACCTTCCTCATGCTGTAATTCCCAGGATTTCTTCAGGGAAACCAGGACAGCTAGTCTGCTGCAAACACAAGTGTAGGTATGGGCTTATAAGAAGAAGAAAATGAGATTGGGTTTATGCCCTGCCCTTCACTCCGAGTCTCAGAGCGGCTGACAAACTCCTTTCCCTCCCCCTCCCCACAACAGACACCCTGTGAGGTGGGTGGGGCTGAGAGAGCTCGTTCGAGGACTACTCTTGAGAGAACAGTTCTGAGAGAACTTGTGACTGACCCAAGGTCACTCCACCAACTGCAGGGAGAGGAGTGGGGGAATCAAACCTGGTTCTCCCAGATTACAGTCTGTGCTCTTAACCACTACACCAAACTGGCTCTCAGTGTTGAGACCTTGGCCTGTATGCCTCTGTGCATGTTCAGGGTTACTTCATAGAGCAGGGGTCCCCAACCTTTTTGAGCCTGTGGGGCACCTTTGGAATTCTGACGCTTCATGATGGGCAGAGCCACAAAATGGGTGCCATAAAATGGTTGCTGCAGGAGTGGAGCCAGCCACAAAATGGCCGCCACTGCTTACCTGCAGTCCCACAGTTTAGATCTTTGCGCTTTGATGGCAGCTGCTGCCAAAGGAACTTTTTTTAAAAAACCTGCACAGCACAACCAATCGTATCGCCAGTGGTGTGGCCAGTCAGAAACCTTGCTGGGCAAAAGCCACACCTGCTTTCTAAATACACTTGGTGGGCTCCAGGAAAGGTGTCGGTGCACACTCTGGTTACCACAGGCCCTGGGTCAGAGACCCCCGTATTTGAGAATGAGATCCTGTTTCCTGGTACTTGCTCCCGATAAATCACTAGCCCCGTGTTCCATGTTGTTAGTTGGTGCTCTTTTTAGTTGCTCTTCCCCAGGTCAAAAGAAGTTCAGTCTCAGAGGTATGTGGCTATCAGCCACAACGATTAAAGGGAGGTCGTAATCCTCTGGTCCTGATCTGGATTGCCCAGGCTGGCCTGATCTTGTCGGATCCTGGAAGCTAAGTAGGACCGACCCTGGTTCGTACTTGGATGGGAGACCACCGAGGAATACCAGGGTCTCGAGGCAGAGGCAGGCAATGGCAAACCACCACTGGACTCCTCTTGCCTTGAAAACCCTACGGACTTGCCAAAAGCTGGCTGCGACTTGACGGCACTTTCCACCACCAGCAAGCTTCTGAATACAGGTGCTGAGGGGCGTCTAGGGAGGGGGGAAACTTTGGTCTCCATGCTCTGCTTGTAGGCTACCCAGGGGTGTCCAGACTTTGTGCATCAAGATGCTGGCTTAAATGGACTCTTGGTCTGAGCCAGCTCTGATATGCTCATGAGCTAGGACACGGGGCTTCAGAAGCCGGGACGGAGCAGGCTATTCCAAGCTAAGTCCAACCCAATCGACACTTGATGCCAATGGACTGTTTCTTGGGCCCAGCATCTCAGTTACGCTGGGCTGCAGTGGGTGGAATCTGTTGGGTGATCGTGAGATATTGAAAAAATGGTATTTAGCAGAGATAATATAGTCCAGCAGAGCCTGAGTAAAATAAATCAGACTGAGAATTCATGTGTGATTAAAATATAAAGTTTTTACTAAATTCTAGCATGGGAAGGGTAACTGGGATGAAAATAACAACAGAGCTAAATCGGCTACAGTCCCAATCAAATCCCTAGATCAGGGAGAAAATTCCCGGGCATCCTACAGCTAAAGAACATTGGTTACATGAGAAACATGTGACTTCCTGTGAGTAACATAAACAAACATTTAACCCCAGACATACTGAGTGTTTTCAACTTGTAATACCCAACAGAATCCAATCACATGTCCCATGTTAGCATACCTGAGCGACGTGCAGTGGGACTACAGGTCTCTGTCATGTGACTGTTACACGTACAGCAACTGGGGGCCCATGTTAAACAAGACATAGACCAATGCTTCTGTCCCACCAGCATCGAGTGCACATCAGATCGCAAATGCTTTGCAAGATTTCCCCAGCTTTGGGAGGTGGGTGTCAAGCAAGGATGGGCATCAAATGCATATACCCGGGTTCCCTTATTTCCACCTGGGAAAATTTGGATTGTAGGTTTCTTTTCCCCAAAGGATAAGAAAGCACTGTTTTATGGGGATCTAAGGGCAAAGTAGGGGCTGCGGTGGCTCAAGCGGTTAAGACACTGAACTGCAGACTGAAAGGTCAGTAGTTCAACAGTTCGAGACCTGAGTGCCGCATGACAGAGTGAAC